CCAGCTACTTTTATTCCTCAGGTGGGACTAGAACTCCCAGTCTCCTGGTGATTGGGCCAAAGTCACCCAGCTACTTTTATTCCTCAGGTGGGACTAGAACTCCCAGTCTCCTGGTGATTGGGCCAAAGTCACCCAGCTACTTTTATGCCTCAGGCGGGATTAGAACTCCCAGTCTCCTGGTGATTGGGCCAAAATCACCCAGACAGTTTCATGCCTGAGGCGGGATAAGAACTCAATATCCCTTGGTGATTGGCCCAAAGTCACCCAGCTGGCTTTCATGCCTGGGACAGAACTAGAACTCCTAGTCTCCAGGTGATTGGCCCAAAGTCACCCAGGCACTTATATGCCTGAGGCGGGACTAGAACTCAATGTCCTTTGGTGATTGGCCCAAAGTCACCCAGCTAGCTTTCATTCCTCAGGTGGGACTAGAACTCCCAGTCTCCTGGTGATTGGGCCAAAGTCACCCAGCTACTTTTATGCCTCAGGCGGGATTAGAACTCCCTGTCTCCTGGTGATTGGCTCAAAATCACCCAGACAGTTTCATGCCTGAGGCGGGATTAGAACTCAATATCGCTTGGTGATTGGCCCCAAATCACCCAGACAGTTTCATGCCTGAGGCGGGATTAGAACTCAATATCCCTTGGTGATTGGCCCAAAGTCACCCAGCTGGCTTTCATGCCTGGGACGGTACTAGAACTCCTAGTCTCCAGGTGATTGGCCCAAAGTCACCCAGGCACTTATATGCCTGAGGCGGGACTAGAACTCAATGTCCTTTGGTGATTGGCCCAAAGTCACCCAGCTAGCTTTCATTCCTCAGGTGGAACTAGAACTCCCAGTCTCCTGGTTTCTACTCTGCTGTCTTCACCGCTAGCCAACACTGGCTCCCTTCTGTAGGAATATATACAATTCTGTAACGCTTTCCTCTCTTCCTTCTCTTCTCCACAGCACCAACCATAGAGGAGAAAGCCTCCCCACCACCGGTCCTTTCCCCTGAAACGCCCCCACCTTCTGTCGCCGCCTCCCCGCCTCCTAAGGAGCATGTGGAAAAGTCACTTCCTGCCTCTCCACCACCACCTCCTCCTCCTCCTCCTCTGCCTCCTCCCGCCGTCACTCCTCAAGAGCCGGAAGAGGACGAGCCGTTACATCCAAACCTCACCCCCGAAGAGCAGCAGCCACCAGCACCTGTCCTCGCGGAACCGCCTGAATCCTCTCCACCCGTCCTGCTGAATCCGGATTCCCGGCACCCTCTGTCCTACCGCAAGGCCACCAATTTCGCCTTGGACAAATTCTTGGATCCCGCCCGCCCCTATAAATGCACCGTTTGCAAAGAGTCCTTCACCCAGAAGAACATCCTGCTGGTGCATTACAATTCGGTGTCCCACCTCCACAAGATGAAGAAGGCCTCAGCGGACCCGTCGGCGTCCTCTCGCGGGGAACCCGGCGCCCCAGGGGCTCTCCAGCCCTCTTCGGACAAGCCTTACAAGTGTACCACCTGCCGGGTTTCTTACAACCAGAGCTCCACCTTGGAGATCCACATGCGTTCCGTGTTGCACCAGACTCGCTCCCGCGTGGCCAAGATGGAAGCCGCGGGCAAGGCGGATGTATCTCCTGCCGAACTGGAGCCCTCCAACGAGACCCCTCTGGAAACCGAGGCCCCCAGCTGTGTCCAGGTGCCCACCCTGCCATTTCTCACCCCGCCCGCAGCAGAACTGCCCCGCTTCCCTACGCCCCTTTTCACCCCACCGCTGCTGCCCCCTTTTCCTCTGGTGCCGGAATCCCTGCTTAAACTACAACAGCAACAACAACAGCTGCTGCTCCCTTTTTACTTACATGATCTGAAGGTGGCTCCCAAGTTGGCTTTAGCCGCGCCAACCCTGACCCTGCCTACCCCGTCGCCTGTCCTGCTTCCTCCCCTGCCCCCCAAAGAAGAACCAGCCTCCACAGCCATCGCAAGTAGCTCCAAGGCAGAGACAGCCGAAGAGACCGAAGGGGAAGAAGCCGATGGAAGCCAAGCAGGGAATGAGGTTTCTCGCACAGCAGCCAAAGCCCTCCTGGAGAATTTCGGCTTTGAGTTGGTGATCCAGTACAACGAGGGCAAACAAGCGGCCACTGTGCCCCCTACCATGCCCCTGCGTCCCCCCGTGGGCAAGCTGCAATGCGGCACTTGTGGGAAACAGTTCTCTAACATGCTCATCCTGAAAACCCACGAGGAGCATGTGCACCGGCGGTTCCTGCCCTTCGAGGCGCTCAATCGCTACGCCGCACAGTTCCGGAAGAGTTACGACAGCATGTATCCTCCCCCTCCGTCCGTACTCCCAATTGAGACAACTGCAGTCACCACTACTGCGCCAGCAGCAGTTCCAACCATCACCACCACCGTCATGGAGAATACCACAGTCACTGTGACGCAATCTTCAATACCGCTGGAGATCCCTGCTCTCTGTCCTCCATTTTTGATGCAACCCATGCCGGTGGTCATGCCTCCACAAGAAAACGAGACTCCCTGTGTACCTCCTGACTGCCTGAAGTCTCTTTGGTTTCGAGGGGAGGAAGAGGAAGGCAAGAACGTATCATCAGGAGTCATGGATCTTCCCCGTGGGGGCTTCCCTTCAACCCGGCGTTTTTCTCGTACCAAATTCACTGAGTTCCAGTCTCAGGCTCTGCAGTCCTTCTTTGAGTCGAGTGCTTATCCCAAAGATGGCGAGGTGGAACGCCTGTCTGCCCTTTTGGGCTTGCCCAATAGAGTCATTGTGGTCTGGTTCCAAAACGCACGCCAGAAAGCCCGTAAGAGTGGCGGGAACGAAGCAAGCATGGGCAACTGCGGAAATGCCACCGCACAGCCATCCTGTAAAAAATGTCGGACGGCCTTCCGCTGCATCTTTGAGCTGGTGCGCCACCTGAAGAAGTGTTACAATGATCAGCTGGACGAGGGGGAAGGAGATGAGGAAGAGAACGAAGGGCCTGAGGAGGAGGAGCAGGAGGAGGAAGAGGAAGGGGACGAGAAACGAGAAATCTCGGGATCTGGTGGGGATATGAAGACAGATGTTGCTGGAGACAAACCCGTGGAAGAAGAGCAACCTGCCCCTTCTATGCCCCCCGACATCTCCAAGAACCATCCCTGTGATCAGTGCACCGCCGTATTCTCCAGCAGCGACCTCCTGAATATCCACCGCATTAGTCACCTCCCAGCCGCTGGCCCTCCCTTGGCTTCGACGGGTCCTCAATCTCCCCTCGACATGACTCCCTTAGTATTTGGCGACCGCCTGGTCCAACCAGACCCTTCCCGGGCACAGAAGCGAAAACACGAAGATGGGACCTTGTCTCCCACGGGAAGTGAAACAGCCAGCATCGCCGGAGGAGACAACGAACCCCCCAGGGACAAGCGTCTGCGGACCACCATTCTGCCCGAGCAACTGGAGATTCTCTACCGCTGGTACATGCAAGATTCGAACCCCACCCGGAAAATGCTTGACTGCATCTCTGAAGAAGTCGGGCTGAAAAAGAGAGTCGTCCAGGTGTGGTTCCAGAACACAAGAGCCCGTGAGCGAAAGGGCCAGTTCCGGTGTAATACCAGTGCCGCCACCCCAACCAGCAAGCCCCCACCAGCACAACTTAACACTTTCCCAAAGTTCAACCCCGCACCACGGGATAACCCTGTTCATTATGGTGGGTCCTTTGCACCCAACCTCTCTGTGATTAACCTCCAGCCCCTTCTAACGAAGCCAGACGTTGTCATGGAACAACAGATCCAGGAAGAAATGGCCGAAGAAGAATTATCCAAGGAGCACGAAGACCGAAGCTTGTCTGGAGGGGAGCTGAGCGATTCTTCCTCCTCTTCCTCCTCAGCTGACCTGGACTTCTCTGGCGGTCAGAGGAATCGAATGATGGATGGCGGTTCTGGAGAGTACCACGACTCTCTGGGTCAGAGACGGTATCGTACCCAGATGTCCAGCGTCCAGCTGAAGATCATGAAGGCGTGTTATGAGATCTACCGAACTCCAACCATGCAGGAGTGCGAAGTGCTGGGGGAGGAGATCGGACTCCCCAAACGGGTGATTCAAGTCTGGTTTCAGAACGCGCGGGCGAAAGAGAAAAAGGCCAAGGCTGCCTCCGGCGGGACCAGTGGCAGTGATGAGGCCCCCTCCAGTGCTCAGGCTCAATCCGAATGCCGCTACTGTGAAGTCAAGTATGATTTCTACGTCTCTTGTCGCGGGCACCTCTTTTCTCGCGGCCACCTCGCTCGGCTAAAGGAGGCCATCCGATCCCAGCTTAAGAGCGAGAGCAAATGCTACGAGCTGGTGCCGGACAAAGAAGCACCCTCCCCAACCAGGCTGGGCGTGCCAATGACTCCTACAGCTATGCCATCTTCTCTTGGGGCCAAGCCCCCTTTTGTGCCAGGTAAGTGAGATTGTAGAACGGTGGGCATTCAAGGATAGTTGTGGAGCCTCGGGGTTGAGTTGTGTGATGGGTTTTGCTGTATAGCGTCCTGTACGCTGCAACGTACTCTACTGTACGCTTACTGTATGACGTCCTCCCTGCTGTAGGGTCTGTTGTTCTGATCTTTCCAGGAACACCAGTGACGTTCTGACATTTGCCAAACCCATTCTAAGTTCTGGTCCACGTTTGACCTGGAAGGCTGGCCGACCACCACATTTTTATTTCCTGGTTTCCTTCCGTGGTTCATGAATCTTCATTTTCATACCTTCTTCGCTTTTTTGTGTGAAGGGTGGGGGGCAGGAATATGCAGAGAGCCGAGGAATTTTCCCGTTTTCTCCCCTCTATCTTTGCATCAAGGGCTGCAGGGGGACTCCCGGTGCAGAGGAGATGGTGGTGAGATTGGAGGAGGGGAACGGGCTAACGTGCAAAGGCCGGAAGAGGATCCTGCAATTTTAACTAGGGGGGGGGTGAAGGGGGAGGCATTCAGAAAGGACACATTCCCAAAGAAGAGACAGCACCACCCCTTGATTCATCTCTCTTTTTTTCTCCGACCTGAACAGGCACGCCTGCTTCCTCAGCGGGGATCCTGAGCTCCCCTTTGGCCACCTCCCAGCCAGGCCTCTCCTTACCTCAGCATCTGCCACTGGATTCTAGCCAGGTCGGCCCCTTAACTGAGCCTGCTCCTGTTCCTGCTCCTGAGACCGCTCCTAGTGACGGTCAGGCCGAACCAACTTCAAATCCAGCCCAGGAACCCTCCTTGTCCTCCACTGCAACGCTAAAGAACCTCAAGACGTTGAAGGCTGCAGTGCCGGCCCTGCTGGGAGGCCAGTTCCTGCCCTTCCCACTGCCAGCAGCAGCTACTGCAGCCGCCGCCGCCCCCTCTCTTTTCGGAGCTCAACTGCCGGGGGCGTACTTTCAGCAGCTCTACGGCATGAAGAAGGGGCTGTTCCCCATGAACCCCGTCATACCTCAGACACTTATGGGGCTGCTGCCCAGCCCCTTGCTCCCGACGCCCACACCCGAGCCCCCCGTCGAGGTGTCCGAGGCCCCAGGCATCTCTACAGTCGACGTGACTCACCAGTACCTTTGTCGCCAGTGCAAAGCTGCCTTCGAGAGTGAGGGGGCGGCCGTCGCCCATCAAACGGCGCTCTGCTACTTCGGGCGCCAGGCGGCGCCGCCTCCCCTGCGCGTGCCCGTGTGCACCTACCACTGCCTGGCCTGCGAGGTGCTCGTGAGTGGCCGGGAGGCGTTGGGAGCCCACCTGCGATCCAGCGCTCACCGCCGCAAGGCCAGCTCCACCACAGCAACCGCATCGGTGTTTGCCAAAGAGGAATCCAAATTACCTCACTCGGACTCCAATCCAAAAAGTAACGCTACCTCTACGACACTACTAGCTTTATAGAGATGGATGTTGTACTGCCATCAATGGAGACAGATTGACTAGCGAACGAACCTGTGGGTGGGTGGACACCTGCGAGGACCACCCCTCTACTTCCACCCAACAGTCGTCCTTCTTCAAGGTCCATTTCAGACCCAGGTTCTCCCCCATTTCTCACTGCCAGCCAGGAAGCTTTCTTGAGAAGGGGGTTCCTTCGTGTCCCCTCCGCAGGCTTTCAAGGGCCTGAGCCCCCCCCCATTTTTATTCTAAATGTCACTCGACTTCCACAGATTGAGCCAAACACAACCCATCCATTGGGGGAGCCTTGGTCCTTACGAAGCGTCATCTTCTCTACCCAACTCAACACTGGCTGTTGCAGATGTTCTCCTACTAGCTTTTCTTCACACTGCTCTGTCCTTCCTCCCGTTCAGGCATCTCCCTAAGGACCCACTGATGCTAATTCCCTACCTCTCCTACCCCCTCTCCCAGATCCTGTGGCCAGATCCAATGAGATTGGCAGCTCATGACCTCCTCCAGAATCCTTACCCACCTATTTCTGTATTCCTGAGTCTTCCGCCTCCTGTGCTGCCGACGGGTCCCTCTACATCTTCCACCACATTCCCATCTGCAAGGAACATCTCAAGGAGATGCTGTCAGGTTTCCGAAAGATGCCCTAATTAATTCGTGAGCCTCCAGCCAAGTTTCAAAAGAAATCCAGTCATTTATTAGGAACACCATTTCGGCAATACCTCGTTGCAGTCAGATCTGACCTCATTTAAATTATGGCTGAACTTTGTCCCTGTTTCTTCCCTCCCCTTAGTCAATGTCATAAATTGCATTCTCCAACGAGGTGCACGCCTCACAAGCCTGCTGTAGCAATCTGAGATCCGACTCTAGCCGAAGGTATGCGTGGA